TTTCCAAATTATATGGGCGAGACTATAGAATAGAAACAAATGAAATCATTACATGCCTGCATCAGGAACAGCAACATTTTCATCCTTGTTAGCGACTGCTCCATTGTCATTTATCGCTAGAAAGAGACATTTGGGATTTTTTAAGTAGTTTATCGCTTTCATTAATTTTTTGAAGTTGAAGTGCATGTCTCGTCCGACGACAACAGCGCAGACTTCATCTGGCTGAAAGTAGTGAATTTCGTAAACTTTGTTTCAGACAGTCGAATGTTAAGTGGTACCCGTGCTAAGAGGTCAATGTTGAATAAGCCTTCTTCATCGTCGCTCAAGTCTGGAAGCTCATCTGGACCGTCTCCGAAAAAGTGAAGACCTAGAGGATTTATTGAAAACTGAGAGATTTCATTGATAGTCAGAATAACAAAGACGTAATACCTTTCTCTTTTAAGTCATCCTTAATACCGCCCGACGCAATCAGATATACCCTTTTATTGTCTGGTCTCTCAACAGCTTCGATATAGTCAGCAACAAGCAGCCCAGGAGTTACAATATGCTTCTAAAAAAGGTCTATGTGCAGCGTTTGAAGTGGGCTAAGCAATGGAGAGCGCATCGCTTCAATATCAGAAGGTGATCTTTACTCCTTTCCTGCTCCCCAGGCATCTGTCGCTCTTTCGAAAAAAACCAAAGCAAAAAGAAAAGCTTTGTACAGCTACAGTAGGTGATTTCCCTGTGGAACTTCGCGCGCGCATTGATACGGAAGTTCATAAAATACAAGAGAAGAATTGTCTATGACATGAATGAGTTAGGACCTAGTTGAGTTGTAAGTTGTCCTTAGCTCTATAGCAAATGCTCTTACATCATGCCTGCCAACCTATCTACCTTTTGGACATAGGACCCGTAGTAAGGTTCCCATCAGGATAGATGATGTGATCTAGCGGGGCTATTCCAACTCCACCGAGCTCACATGTTACCGAACCCTCCGTCATTGTATAAGGATACAAACGCGGAGGGGTCACGGTCATGCGAGGTTCTGCGTGAACTCTTAAGTTGCTCAGAATCAACTTACGAGTTCTCTTGACGAGGTGAACTTTTCCATCAAATATGGAGCACCACCGACCCAAAGCACATCTTTGATAGTGGTTTCTCCAAAATTCGTTCCTAATCATGATTTCATTTAAAACCGTTCTCTCCATCTTTACAGTGCACCTATCATCCCATGTAATTCATACTCATTGGTAAAACTGTCTAGCATTGAGATCTGGAAAAAGGATCAGCTGCTCAGTGACCGCCATTCTAACTACTGAACTATCATCTCATGACAAAGTTGACGCGTATGCATGAATATTGTTCTAACCTCGCCCGCCTTGGACTGAGGAGGCTTTACTAGGGGCCCAGGCGTTAGGACGGAAAATGGGAAAACTTCTTGCACTTGTCATCAAGCCCATTAGTTATGCATTGCTTAAGCTCTCTCTCCCCTCCTCTCCCCCTCAAGAGTATGGCCACAGGAAGTTTTGGGCAGTTTCTTCACGCGAGCGTTTGTTAGCAGAGCATGCTACAGCTGCTTATCATCATGGCCCACCGGTCGATCATTTGCTCCATTGCTAATAAATCATTCCGCAGATGACAATTCTCATTCCTGCACTGATATAGCTTCCCATTTAACATTTTATCGCTTGAAACATTGAAATCATTGATGATAATCTACGAGAAAAGTACTAAGTGAAAGCTAATTTTTGTTGCAAAAGCACAGCGAGCTGATTGTTCTCGCAAATCGTTATGGGCGAAGGTGAAGATAACTAACCGCTACTGAATATTGTTTGGATTCAGAACGTCGCTAAGCTTTTTTGAAGAAGCGGAGTTCTGTATCTTGTTGTGTAAATATGCCATTATTCACTTAAGGTGATGGTAGTAGTTATGAGCGAGCGGCGCTCCACTTCGGGATGAAGAGG